TAATTTGGTTCAGCTGAGGGTGCTACCTGGGTATTGGGTACCCGGTGCTGTGTTTTGGAAAGGTGCTCCTGGGTGCTGCAGCCCCTGATGCTGTGTGTCCTGGCTTGTCCAGCTCTTTCCAGCATCCCGGTAGCTTTATGCAAGCCCTGAAACAGAGCTGTAAGCCATGGAAAACTCAGTGCTGACCAAGATTAGAAAATCCCTGTCCTCTGCATCGTTTGCAGTATTAATTCTGGTAAATTACAGTGCTGTAGTTTGTAATTTATCTGGGAGATGGATTCAATTAAATTGAAAAAGAGCTAATTGAAAAGTGAAGAAAATTTTACTTTCCGTGCAAGGTAAAGGGGCCTGTGGAGCTCCCTGCCTCCTAGATACATTTAAAGCTTAAAGCATGCTGTGCCCCAGAAAGCAATAAATAATTGCACAAATAACTGGAACAAGTAGAATTATAATAGGTCTTCAAAGAAGATCTCCAAAACTTTGCAAAAGGCTGAAGCTGTTAAGGCATCAGCTAGTCTTGAGGAACTAGGAGGAAGGACTTTGTATAGGGACCAGGTGAAGCCAGGTTTGCATCGGGCTTTTTGCACCCTTCGCTGAAGGGTCTGGTGCTGTCTGCTCTTGGAGACTCGTTAGGTTCATCCTGCCGGCTGCCCTACGAACTGTTTCATGATTAAATATATTTGGGGTAGTGCTGCTTAAGGAAAAACTTTCCTGGCAGCGTCGGGACCGAAGAAAGTGAGGAATTATCCTGTGGAACTTGTGCAGGGTTGTGGTGTGCAGGGGCACGGCCGTTCCTCTTTTCGCGTGGCTGTTCTAAAGAAGGGCAGTGGACTCGCTGGTGGACTTGCTTTTCCAGTGCAGGTAGGGCTGAGCCTGGCGTGCCGCAGGTGGCTCAGTTTCCTTCTTGCTGTTTTGCTCCCTATCAGGTCGAACTTGCCTATGTGCTGCAGAGGGAGCCGAGAGCCGGCAGGCTGTGCCGTGGGGAGCCGGATGGGCTTGCCGATGGGAAAGGCAGCAAGCCTAGGAGCTCCGCAACAGCAGCAGCAAAGCATTTTGCTTATTAAATTGTATCGTCCCCTGTGTGCCGCCTTGTTTTTGTAGATCGGCGGTGATTGCCAAGCTGTTTGCGGTTAAACAACGCAGACTCTCATAATCCTGCTCCTCATCTCGCCTAATTAAGGGCCTGGTCAGGCTGGAGCTTTGCCCGAGCGAGGACTCTGGGGGCAGTTGTTCGATCTGGTGTGGTGCCAGGACCGCGTGTCCCTGATAGCTCCGTTTCCTTTGAAATCAATTGAGATGTCACCATCGCTTGATCCCAGAGCTACTTAATGAACTGGCAAAATGGGCTCTATTTTTAGATCTCCCGTCAAACTACTGTGCGTATTAAAGCTCCCCTTGTCCTTAATGCCGGGACGGCGTTGGGTAGGATTTATTGGTTTAGTTTAATGAGAGGCATACAGAACTGAAATAATAAGCTCCGTTTCCTTGAAAGTGAGGAAAGTTAAAATGGCATGGTTAAATGCGGGCAGCCGCCTCGAGACAGTAAAGCAATACGTTTACATGTGGCTGGAAGGGTAAGGTGGAGCTGGGTTTTTCTTCTTGTCTAAGTTACAACAGAGCCAAAGATTACAGACGCATGACTTTGGGGAGCTCTTGCAAGCTTTGTGAGTCAGATTTCTAAGTTTTCTGAGCAGGATAAAACTCTTGGTGGTTTATTAGGCAAGCTCAACAACTTTAAGAATATCTACTTCATTGTGAATGCTAGAGTGTCTTCCCCTACATGTTTATAATCAGTGTCAGTAAAATATTTTTGCTAAAACAAGAAATAACCAGAGACTTAGGTCATTTAGATATTTTTACTTCTTATTGTAGTCTAAAACCAAGTTCAGGAGGCTGCCAAGAATGCCTTGAGGCTTTCCCTAGCGTTGGTGCTGGCACACATGTGCCTGTCTGCAGATCATACGTGGGGCTTGGGGGTTTGCCCTCTGTAGGGTCACAGTCTCCAAGACTGTGCAGCAATGAGGTGAAGGGATGGGGTACACAGTTTTAATGTGAGTGGCAATTCCTTTCACCCCACTAAATGGAAATGTGTGTAATTGCAGAACGCATCAGTACTTGCTTCTGTTGCACAGTCAAAATAAACAGAAGTAAAAAAGCTCCAAACCAAACCCAAACCTTGTGTAGCAGAAACACAAGGTGTACTGAATGGGTCACCCTTGAGCCTGGGCTCGGGGTGGAAATTGGCCGTGTCAGTGATGATTGCAGCATCTCTCTGGAGGCTGCTGCAGACTAACTGAATTTTTTCTCCCTGTGCTCTGAGCTGGAGGAAGAGGTCTAGTTTTGGGCCAGGAGTTGTGTGGTTTTATCAGGTGAAACTGCCCATGTCCGTGCATGCCGCAGAAATGAAACAACTCTACAGCTCAACTCTGCAGCTCCAGACCCTGAGCTGGGTTGTGCCTAGCTCCAGAAAAGTGAGGCTGGACCCACCCCTGTCTGTTTAGGTAGTTAAATGCCGTGTGAGTGCAAGGCAGCACTGTGCTTGCTTCAGTTAGGCGTCCCCTCTTGGTTTTCTCCATCCCTATACTTCAAATTCTTCTCCACCACCAGTCTAATGCTGCTGCTTAGTAGTGATTGTTTTACACACCTTTAAAACCACCAGCTATGTGATTTTTGTGTGTTTGTGCAAATTATTTTGGCTTTCCTACAAGGGAGGCATTCTCGCTTATAAAAGTTATTTTTACTTATGTGGTGAATTCCAGCATAACTCTGTGTGATCCATGAAGTCCCAGCTCACTTCTAAACATGCTCAAGGAGATCATAGGGAGAGCTGGTGACACTCTGGGCTGCATTGGGAGAAGTGTGGCCAGCAGGTCGAGGGAGGTGATTCTGCCCCTCTACTCTGCTCTGGTGAGGCCTCACCTGGAGCCCTGCGTCCAGCTCTGGAGCCCTCAGCACAAGAAGGACATGGAAGTGTTGGAGCGGG